TTTTTATTTGCTAGGACCTCATCGTTTCCCTCTATACAATTGTTTAGCTGAAGATCTTGTTAACTGCATGATTCTCTGGGTGTTTCCAATTTCTGTTGTCCAAGAACAAGCTGATTGGCCCTAGGCCACCTTTTCATGCCAAACTGTGTCATCTGCTTGGGCCACCCTATGGATCGGCAGTCCTTCAGTTACAAGTAGAAGGAGCCCTGGTGGCACAGGGGTTAGAGCACTCAGCTGTCAAGCCTTGGGAGAAAGTGCTTGGAGGCCCAGGTGTTCCTTGGAAATCTCCCTGTGTCTTGACTTTCACCAGTGTTAAGGAGCTTCCTAGGGCAGGCCCCTGAGGACACACTCCACTCCTGGTAATTCTTTCTTTCTTGCGGTTTCTGAGGTCCAACCCCTACTCATTTCCCCCCTTTTTGGGGTTTTTCCCAGAATGAAATTTCCTCAAAAGTTCATGTTCACAGACAGACAAAAAACTGATCCAGAGACAGACTAAATGTCTATTTAGCTAGTGTCTATCAGCTTCAACTTATTAGGAAAGGGAAACTTATTGACTAGAGGAGAGTACTGAAAAGATCTGGGGGTGGCCTGCTGGAGAAAATTCTGCTGTGGAGGGGAGCAATTATTTCATTACACTAACACAAACAAACCCCATTATGTGGTAAAGTTAAGAATTACACAGGCTGATGGAAAATGCTAACAATACACAACCCTTGGTTTAAGTGGGGGAACCAGCACTTTCCTGATCTGTACTTATTTATGAAAGCAGAGCTAAAAACAATAATAAAAATGGTCAATTTGCATTCATTCTAGGGGAAACTGGAAAAACAAGTCTAATAGGAATTCAGCTTGTTTAGTAAAAGTGTAGCCATTTGGGGACTTTATAGGACTTACCATACACTCCACTTTCATTCTGAGTGACATTAAACGTGCTACATTGCTGTAAATGTTCATTAAACCTAATAAAATTCAATAATAATTTTTTTAAAAAGTGCTACACTGATCAGGTTTTCCTTGTGTGTGTATGGATATTATATCACTCATGACATTGTATTTCAGGATGGATCTAGCAATGGGATTGTTTTTGCTTGAATGTGACACCATTTTTCCTCACTTTTTCATGCCCTGCATAGTAGATCGTATGACTGTCTGATTAAAAATAGTTCATGCCAATACATCTCAGCTCACCACAGGAATCCCAGAATACTTTATTTACTTATGCAAAACTTAGACCAGGAAGGAGTTGTACGAACAGAGCAAGGAAATATTGCATGGTTTAAAATCAAGAAAAGAGGGAGCTCTGGTGGCCTAGTGGCAAAAAGCTGCACTGCAATCCCAGAGGTACACGGTTCAAATCCACCAGATGCTCTGCTGGAGAAGAAAGGGCAATCTCCTCCTGTACCTGTCAGATCCCATTTGATGGTACACATACAAAAAATAATAAAATTGAATTAAATTAAAATCAAGAAAGGAGTGTGTCAAGATCTCCTGTCTCCATAGTTTTTTTCCAATCCATATGCAGAGTAGATCATTCAGGAGACTGGGCTCTATGAAGAAGTGACATCAGGAAGAGAGAAAGATTCATCAGCAACCTGTGTTACTCAGATGACACACTTTGTTCGCCAAAAGGTGACTTGAAGCATTTGATGAAGAAGTTCAAGAACTGCGGTCTTCAACATAGATTGTATTTCAACATCAAGAAAACCAAGATTCTTACCACTGGGCTATCGGTAGCATCATGATAGAGAAGAGATTGAGACTGTTAACAATTTCATCTTGTTTGAGTCCACAAGCAACACTTTTGGCACCAGTAGTCAGGAATCAAGAGACAAATTACTTTGGGAAAGTCTGCTATCAGGGACCTCTCAAGAGTGCCAAGAAGCAACAATGTCAATCTAGAGACTAAGGTGAGTCTGGTCTAGGCCATGGTCTTCACAATTATTTGTTATGCATCTGAGAGATGGACAATGACTAAGGATGATAGAATAAGAATTGATGCCTTTGAGTTGTAGTGCTAGAGAAAAGTCTTGAACATACCACAGACCGCCAAGAGAACAAACACATCTGTCCTTGAGAGGGTGAAACCAAGTTACTCCTTAAAGGCAAGGATTGCCAAGCTCCCTCCCATATACTTTGGGCATGTTTCCAGGAGGGACCAGTCCTTGGAGAAGAACATTGTGTTTGGAAGGGTAGAAGGTCAATGCAGGAAAGGAAGACCCTGGACGATATGGATTGACTGTGGCAATGGGGGCAAGTGTGTCAGCAACAGTGAGATCAGCTCAAGATAAAGCAGAATTCAGAGCTACTGTTCATAGGGTCACTATAAGTGGTAGTCAACTCAAGGGCACATAGCAACAACACATTGATCAGGGGTGTGATAAGACTAAGGGGTGCTGTTTCTCACCCTAATCCTTTTACTACTATTTACCTTTTATCAAATCAAGGTGAATTATTACATAGTTCCCACATTATATCATTACATACGCATATTTTAGGGGGTAGAATTCAATTTATAACACCTAATAATCAGCCGTGACAATGGGCACAGTGTTAAATCTGGCAAAAAGTGGACACAAAGGCTTCCTTCAACAGGGACTATAAGTGAAGTGTCTTTCCTTAAAAGGAGCTGTGGTGCGGAAGGCCTCATGATTGAGGTCTGCAGTAATTTAGACCAATGATTGTTAAATATTTTTATCAGAGATTTTCTGAGAATCAAATAAAAGCTATGGCACTTACTTCCCTTCCCCAGGGAGAAGGAGGGGAAGAGTGAGAATCACTCATGTAGAAAACTTCACATTAAATTTCAGTGTATTCATGGATTTCAGGAACCATTGTGAAACACCCCCACATCGTCCCACCACCACCACAAGTCTAAAGGCTATCCACAGACTTCCTTAAAGACAGGCTAGATTCTGTTCACCTTGTATCTCCAATGTACAGCACTGAACCTGGTCCATTAGCACAGAGAGAGAAAGCTGGGAATGGAGACAGGTTTGAGGAAAAGAAATCAACTCAATGAGTGAGTCTAGGGCAGATATGATTTACAAATGGCATTCTGAGCACAAAACTGAAGAAAGGTAGGCCTAGAGTGACTGCCAATTAGAGGTGAAGATTTGTCTTTAGGTGCTGAGAGATGCCAGCCAAAGCTGCAGTCAGAGCCCAAAGTCCATTAGCTCTCATTTGCATTCACTGAGCAGTTTTGAAGCTCTCTCAACGTCACTATTTCATTTAATAGTCAAAATAGTCCTATGAAGTAGGAAGGGCAGGATGACTTGCTTTTACAGATAAGGAAGTAGAAATAGTGCAAAGATGACTAGAACCCAGAGGTGCTGATTCCTAATACAAAGCTTTCTTAATTCCTAAGAAAGTAAGCAGGGAGTTCTTGTGGCCTAATGATAAGGAGTTGTGCTGCCAACCCAAAGGAGGGTGGTTCGAATCCACCCACTATTCATGGGAGAAAGATGGCAGTATTATACCAGTGAAAATCCATTCGTGGGTCAACTATGGGTCAATTCTGACTGTACATAACAAGAAAGAAAAGTATTCTTTCTCTGCAAAGAGAGCATAGATAAATATCCGATGGTGTTAGGTGTTGTCGAGTTGAGTGTGACTCATGGTTACCCTATGAACAACCAATCTGAATCCTGCTCTGTCCTGTTCATTCTTACAATCTTTGACTCAATCAAGCACACAGCTTCAGTCACTGTGTCAATCCATCTCATTGGGGGTCTTCCTCTCCTTCATTGACCATCTTTCCAAGCATGGTATCCCTTTTTAACGAACAGCATCAATTAGTCCGTTTGGAGAGTAAGAAGTTGAAAGAAGAGTAATTTACTTGGTGATAATTAAAACTCACATCTATCACTAGGCAAGGCTGTAAATCTTTAAGGGAAAAGACAGCCTGCCTTTGCCTACAGTGGCTAGTGGATTTGAACTGCCCACCTTTCAGTTAGCAGGCTGACATGCTACACACGACATCTCTGGGACTCCTTCAAAGTATTGTACAGAGTGTGGGTCATAATTTTACAGTAGAATTTCTCTAGGAACGTTGCTAACTATTCCTGTACATGGGAGATATTTAATAAACAGAACACCTTATTATGCTTATATGAAATCTATCCAAAGAAGACAAAGATTCTTACCACTGAACCAACTGGCAGCAATAGTATGGATGGTGAAGAGATTGAGATTGTTAACCGCTTTAGTTTGCTTGGCTCCACAGTCAACACTCTTGGCACTAGCAGCCAGGAAATTAAAAGATGCACTGCAATGGGAAAGTCTGCTATTAGAAACCTCTCTAAATACTGAAGAACAATGGTGTCACTCTGGAGACTAAGGTGTGCCTAATACAGACCATGGTATTCGCAATCACTTGCTATGCATCAGAGAGCTGGACAATGATTAGGGAGGATAGAAGAAGAATTGATGCCTTTGAGCTGTGATGTTTGAGAAGAGTATTGACTATACCATGGACTGCTAAGAGAATGAGCAGGTTTGTCCTGGAGAGGGTTAAACCATGCTGCTACTTGGAGGCAAAGACTCTGAGGCTTCATCTGACATAGTTTGGACATGTTGCAAGGAGAGACCAGTCCTTGGAGAAGGACATCAAGCTAGGGAAGGTGAAGGGACAGCGCAGGAAGGGAAGACCCTCTATGAGGTGGACTGATTCAATGACTGGGGCAATCAGGGTGGGTGTGTCGGAGACAGTGAGATTGGCACAGGACAGAGAAGGGTTTAGGGCTGTTGTACATAGGGTCACTATGAGTTGCATGTGACTCAATGGCACATAACAAGAAGAATATACATAGATCAAGAAGCTGTTGTCTGAACAGAACAAGGGAATAATGAATGGTTTAAAATCAGGAAAGATGTGCGTCAGGGCTGCATTCTCTCTCTTTACCTATTTAACCTGTATGCTGAACGAACCATTAGAGAAGCTGGACTTTTTGGAAAAAAGTGTGGCATCAGGATAGGAGGAAGACTCATTAAAAGCCTACAGTATGGAGATGGCACAAGCTTGTTTGCAGAAAGTGAGGAGGACCTCAGGCACTTGCTGCAGAAGATCAAGGACTGCAGCCTTCAATATGGATTACATCTCCACATCAAGAAAACAAAAATACCACCAGACCAATAGACAACATCATGATAAATGGGGGAAAGATTAAAACTGTAAATGATTCCATGTTATTTGGGCCCATAGTCAATCCTTTGGCACCAGGAGTCAGGAGACCATGAGATGTATAGCACTGGAAAAGGCTGCAGTCAGGGCCTTCGCCAAAGCCCTGATGAGTAATGGTGTTAAGGAGTGCCTGATTCAAACCACAGTCTTTCCCATCACCTGCTATGCCTCTGAGAGCTGGATAATGAATAAGGATAACAATAGAAGAATTGATGCCTTTGAGTTACGGTGTTGGAGTACTGAACATCCCATATAGTGTGTCAAAAAAACAAAGTAAGTCTTGGAAAAAGTGCAACCAGTGCGTTTCTTGGAGGCAAAGATGGTGAAGTTTCATCTCACATAATTTGGAAACATATTTTGTTAGAAGAGGTTATTCTTTGGAAAGGGATATCACGCTTGGAAAGGAGAAGAAGACCCTCAAAGAGATGGATTGATACAGAAATGGACTCAAACGTGTCAAGGCTAATAAGGATAGAGCAGGATAGGACAGAGTTCAAATCTGTTGTTCATAGGGTCCAACTATGAGTGGTACTGCACTCAATGACACTTAACAACAATTAACACTGTTAACTGGCAAACTTCAACGCCACACTTTTCAACCCACACTGTCACCAGCACTCACGTGTTTTCAAAATGGACCTCTCTGCCTCCCTGAACTCCAGCATGAGCTCATACAAGGAAAAGACCCACAGGCGTGGACAGATAAGCCTTCCCAAAGATCTTTATGCAAAACTTTTAATTCTGGAAAGAAAAGTTTGTCAAGGTTGTCAGGAAGAGGAGAGAAAAATCATTGAAGACTCCAATGAGGACAATGGGTTTTATGTGAGTTTTAAGGTGAGGCTGTGTGCTTAGCAAAGAAACCCGAGAGGCTGACGAGTCCAGATCTGTGAGCAGGGGCGGGCCAAGCGCAGGAGGGGGCTGTCTGAGTCAGGCTTGAGCAAGCGGGACAGGAAGGGCAGGGCGTGGGCCACCAGAGGCCGCAGCTCCCCGCAGACGCCACACACCCGCTGCTCCAAGCCACAGCCACTGCGCTCTGGTCCGCTGCGACATGGTAAGCCTAACTTTTGATTGTTCTTCCTCTACTCTGGAAAGGAAAAAAGAGAGAAAACAACCAACGCCTGCTTTCCATCAGGCTTTATCTGGGATTTATCTGCGGTCGTGGCAGGAGACAGGAGGGGGTGGGACAGAATTGGGGAAGAAGGACTGGAAAGAAGTAGCCCTAAAATTATACCTGTAATGACAGGCTGAGTGTGGAAATTGGCAGTTCTTTCTGTTTTCCAGTAGCGATAAGGTCTAGGGCTGGGGAAGTGGAAGTGCAGTGCCGTCCTGTGACAGTTACCCTGTGACCTGCACTGAGTCTCCCAGGCAGGGGGTGAAGGCCCCACCCTGTTCCTGGTGGCCTGGTCTGCAGGGAGCTGCGCTAACTCTAAGGCCTTAGCTCACATTAGAGGTTCGAATCTACTAGCGGCTCTGAGAGAGAACGAATGGAAATCTCATTCTGTAGTGGTTTTACAGCCTCAGAATCTGATGGAGGCTCACTGGTAGGAAAGGAGTTTGAATTAAGAGGGTGCCTCCCCCTCATCTGGAATGGGGCGGGTTGCTACAATTTCCTGGCTATGCTGGAATCCAGTGTCTCCCGCTACAATTCCTCTGGTTACAGGCCTGAAAGTCTGTGAGAATAGTTTACTTAGGAGTGTTGGGACTTCTGGGGTGTCACGAGTAATTCTAGTGAACCAGACAGTACTGGGAATGTTCAAGTCCTGAGGGAAAAGCAGTTTCAATAAGCAACCATAGCGGAAGACAAAAAAGAGCCTGAAACTAAACGGGGATTAGAGACAGGAATGTGGGAGGAGCCGGCCCAGCCCTGCTGCCTCCTTTCTTTCCCTCTCACTCCACCATCTTTTCAGGCCCACGCTCTTCGACTGCTTACTTTTCCCCTTGCGGCTCCTTCCATCTCCACGTTCAAACCTTCTAAATCCTACACCCCCCACCCCCAATTAATCCACCTACAAAATCTATTCCTGCTGCCTCACTTGAGTGAAGGAGTCACCAAACTGTGGCTCTAAGGCCAGGAGCTAAGAACCGTTTTCACCTTTTTTAATTGGGGAGGGGGGTGGGTTAAGGGGAGAGGAAAGAGACACACAGAGATAGAACATTTTGTGACACATGAAAATTATAGGAAATTTGAACTTAAGTTTCCATAAAGTTTGACTTAAGCACAGCCACGCCCAATCATGTAAGCACTGACTGCTTTAAAGTTGCTAGGTGATACAAACTGTTCACTACTAATCTAAAGGTTGATGGTTTGAAACTATCACATGGTACCAGGAAGAAAGGTCTGATAGCCTGCTTCCATTAAGATCACAAGTAAGAAATGTCAGGAGCAGTTATATAAGGTCAAGGTTGGAATTAACGCAGTGTAAGTCTCTTACTGGATGATTGCTTTCCTCCTATAATAGAGTTAAAAACCTTGGATCACGAAGTCTAAAATATCAGCTCTCTGGCGCTTTACCAAAAGAACTTGTCAATCCATTAATGTGTCAGTCTGCCCCCCCAACACACACACACACACACACACACACACACACACACACACACACACTTTCTCCACTTCTCCTTTCCGTACAAAAGGGAACCTTCATTTCACGGTACCGCGAAAAAACAGATCCAGCACTTACCAGACTGAAAAACTAGACTGCTGGTGGACCCAAGTAACAACAGTTGTCTCTTTGTAAAGTGTGTTGAAAAGACATCTGGAGAGGGGAGGGGGAAATTTATTTTTGCTTTCCTTCGATGCAGAGTGTTTGACATGTATTTTTAAATTATTTCACTGTATCCAGTCGTTAGGTTGTTTTTTCCTTCCTATAAAGGTTCCCACAGATTGGACTCTGAGGAATCCTATAGACTGACGTGTCCAGAGTTCTGGACTGGGGGTCTGGGGTTTCTCCCTTTCCTCCGCTGCTCCATCTGAGGCAAATCTGTCACTTCTTTAAGCTTCCTCAGGAACCATCTCCAAAGTCCCCTGGAACTCTACATAGTATACAGTAGCAATTCAGTTACTGGATAATTGCCTTCCTTTCTTTTTCTCTGAGGCATTGAAAGAGAAAAAGGGTGTGGCAGGAAAAGTGTCCCAGAACGTCTGCAGTTATTGCTCTGAGCCACCAGGGGGAGCCAAAGAGCTGGCCACGCCTGAGTCCTCCGCCCCGCCCTGACGTGAAAGGCAGGCTCCTTGAAGGAATTTCCTTGGTGAATTCTGGGAGGAAAGCATAGGATTTGACCCTCCTGCTCCTTCTGATGCAGCCACAGCAGCTCACGAGACACTGAGAACTCCCTCAAACTCTCACTGCCATGGAGTCATTTGAGACTCATAGCAACTATCAGGGTTTTTGAGGAGGTAAATCTTCACCAGAGTAAACTACCCATCCTCTGCCCAGTTACCACCTGGTGGAGTCGAACCGCTAGAGTCACGCTGTATTGTGTCTAGCAGGTACGGACTACACCACCAGCACTTCTAGGGAGCTCCCTGTTGTGTAGTGTGGAGTCAGAATCAACTAATAGGTGACCTTCCAGAGGGTTTTCAGAGGCAGTAAATCACAAAGAAGGAGATTGCTCATCTTTCTCCCATGGAGCAGCTAGGGGATTCGAATCACGTGCCGTAGAGTTAGCAGCACAACGTCTTACCACTAAGCCATACGAACCTAAAGGAACCTTCCGGGTTTGCCATCACCTCCAGAGGCTCCACATCAGAGGCAATATTAGTGGCCCTAGAAATGGAAGGAAGGGAGCTCTGGTGGACCTAGTCTGTCAGGTTTTAGATTAACCCCAAAGCCACGCCTCCTGGTGCTTCGAATACACCAGCCCCTTCTCCAGAGAAAGACTGACAATGTCCTCATATGATTTGCAGCCTTGAAAACCTGCTAGAGGGTGAGCTGCGAGTCGGTTCTGACCAAACAGCAGGGGTGTGAGAGAAGTGGAGAGCAAAGGCTGAGGATTTTAGAAAAGGGTCTTGAGGCCTGGATTCTAAAGCACAGGCCGCCATGAGGATTTTCTTCTCATGCCCATTTCCTCAAGTGCAGGATTAATGGTTGATCATTTTCAAGTGTGAAAGTCACTTTTTGAACATCAAAAAAAGTGGTCTGATTTATCTTCTACAAACACAAATACCTAAGTGTTTGGTTTCCTTTGAGAAAGTGCATGAATCCTGGGAATTCAGTATTTCTTTTAAAAGAACAGGGAGCTCTGGTGGTAAGATGTTGTGATACCAAGGCAAAGGCAGGCAGGCAGGCAGCTCAAAGGCATCACTACACCTGGGTTAAGGAGGCACAATCTCCTCTCTGGCAATTTGCAGCCCCTGAAAATCCCCTGGAGGGTCAGCCAGGTGTCAGTGCTGGCTCCACAGCAAATTAGTTTGTGTTTTTTCAAGAATGAGCAGTTCATTCATCACACTCTGCACACATTGGGAAACAGGATAGTATTTAATCTGTAGGCAATGCATAATATGCATATGAATTTTTTAGAAAATAGAATTATACATATATGTATCCAAACATCTTAAATATTCATAAACCCTGCCATTGCAACTATCATCTCGGAAATTCACTATTCTGCTTTCCAATATATCCCTCATGTTCCAGATTTGCCTGTATTTCAACTGGAATAAATTGTGAGGAGGGATGAAAAGGAAATCCATATACAGAAAGTGTCTCTCTGTGGCTATCCTAGGCCTCCCAATCTCCTAAAAAATGACCCTGCATTTTAGGAAATTAAACCAGAAAGATATGACAAGTCTCTGGAGTGTTCTCTAGGGTCCAGTGTCTGACATCTTGTCCTCGTCTGAGCTCTCAATTTTCTCCCCACAGGCAAAAGTCACTAGCCCCACGGAGACCGAGCGGTGCATTGAGTCCCTGATTGCCGTGTTCCAGAGGTACGCTGGACAGGATGGAAACAGCCTTACCCTCTCCAAAACGGAGTTCCTGAAATTCATGAATACAGAACTGGCTGCCTTCACAAAGGTATTGATCCTAACCCTGACCCCCAAACAATCCATGTAGGAAACCAAGCCCTGACAGAAGGTTTTGGGATGAGGAGCCCGCAGCTCTCATCACATTCCAAGAAGAATGGCACCTGTTTGCCTCTGGGGCTCCCCTCACTCCTCTTACCTCCTCTACTCTGTGTGGTCCTCAAGCTTCAGGCTGAGCTCTGATAACTAGAAAGAGGTCTTTTCTTTGAAGTAGGATATGTTTTAAAAGATCAAAATGTGCTAACTGCATGATACAGATGATGGTGATTTGTTTTTTCCATGTAGGGAGAGAAGAATAAGAAATGGCAATTTGTGTAACAGGGTAGTTTTCTTCTTCTTCTTTTTATTTTTTTGTAACAGGTTAGTTTTCTAATTGTATTTCTCCAATTGAAAGGTTCTAGTACAGCCTTGTCCGATAGAACTTTCTGTGGTGATGGAAGTGTTCTATATCTGCACCATCTAATGTAGTTACTGAACACTTGGAAATATGTCTAATGTGACTGAAGAGCTGAATGTTTAATATCCATTAATTTAAATATAAGTAGCTACATGTTACCAACAGTTATAAAATGCTGGGAGGTAAGGATTGAAGAATGAGTTTGTTTCAGTGAGGAGCTATGTTCTTATCCTGACATAAATGATTCTACTTTTACACTTTTTTTTTTATTGGAGTTCAGGGCAATACTGGAAGAAGTATTACACTATTTTACTAAGTTAAATAATCACATTTACCCCAGAAGGAATCCTAGACTATTGTTGTTAATGTACCATCAAGTCAGAACTAACTCATAGCTGACCCTCTGGTGGGTTTTCAGGGGCAGAAAACTACGTGGGAGGGAGATTGCCTATCTTTCTCCCACAGAGCAGTTTGTGGATTTGAACCACGTGCCTTTAGGTTGGCATAAGCCACAATCCTGGACTAAGAGCTAGAAAATATGGGTACGAGTCCCAGGCCTACCCTTTGGGGAAGTCACTTTACCTTTTTCAGTCTATTTCTGTGTCTGAAATATGGAAATATTAATAGCCTCTTCCATATACCTTAAACTCTTATGATAATAAAGCTTGAAAACACTTTAGAAAGTATATTATTATTATTACTACTACTACTACTAACATTATTATCTTTGCAGAATCAGAAGGACCCTGGTGTCCTTGACCGCATGATGAAGAAACTGGACCTCAACGCTGATGGGAAGCTAGATTTCCAAGAATTTCTTAATCTTATTGGGGGCATTGCTCTGGCCTGCCATGACTCTTTCATGAAACATGTTCACTAGCAAACCTGAAGCACCATTGAAACTGGCCAACAAGCTCAGCTCCTTCCCTCCAAGACCCCCCACCCCATGACTGTAGACTCCTCACAGCCCACACACACCCTGATCTAGCCCACCCACCACCCCATGCAGGCCACCCCTTCTGGGACTAATAAACATTCTGTTTTTTTTAAAAAAAACAAACACTGGAGCATCAATAAATCTGTGCAAGGGAGGGATAAGAAATACAAACATGGATAGAAGCAGTTATCAGAAGCTGCTTAGTAAATATTGTTGTTTATTGTCAAGTTGAAACCAACCCACAGCTGGCCCTCCAGTGGGTTTTCAGAGGCAGATAATCACACGAGAAGAGATTGTCCATCCTTCTCCTGCAGAGCAGCTAGTGGCTGCATGCCTTGGGTGCACAAATGACCATGACTAATGGTCCAATCACTTTCTAAATTACTGACACTGATGGAAGAGGTATCACTTACTTCCATTACTCACTGTCTGTTCAGCCACTTTCGTGGGTTCTGAGGGTATAGTCAGCAAAGACCTTGCCTTCACTGAGCTCACTTTTCAGTGGGAAGCAGAAAACAATGACTGAAAGAGCAAGCAGATCATAAGGAATTTCAGGTCCTGGTACATTCTGTCAAGAAAGAGACAGTATGTTGCAAATTGACAGAAGCTGGGGAGGCCATCATTCTAAAAAGATTTGTTTGTGCTAAGATCTGGAGAAAGAAAAGACAAAACATGAAAAGATGCAGGAGAATATTCCAGAATAGGAAACAGAGCAAGTGAGGGGAAAGGAGATGGGATGTGTGAGGAACTGGAAGGAAGCTAGAGCTAATGATGTCAATTTCTTTATAATTGAGTGTGAGTTTCTTTCTTTTTTATGTTTGGCTGAGGTGTATTAACATTGTTGTTGGTATATACAGTCAAGTCATCTGCAACTCAGAGACCCTTTGTACAACAGGCCTAAACCCTGCTCTATCCTGTGCCAACCTCACTGTCTCTGACACACCTACTCCCATTAACCCAGTCACTGAATCAATCCCTCCACCCTCCCGAGCATGACACCCCTCTCCAAGGACTAGTCCCTCCTTGAAACATGTCCAAAGTATGTCAGACAAAGCTTCAGAATCCTTGTCTCCAACAAGCAGTGTGGTTTCACTCTCTCCAGGACAAACCTGTTTGTTCTCTTAGCACTCCATGGTATATTCAAGACTCTTAAACACCACAGCTCAAAGGCATCAATTCTCCTTCTATCCTCCCTAGTCACTGTCCAGCTTTCTGATGCATAGCAAGTGATTGCAAAGACCATGGCCTGTATCAGGCGCACCTTAGTCTCCAGACTGACATTGTTGCTCTTCAGTACTTTGGAAAGGTCTCAAAGCAGACTATACCATTGCAATTTGTCTTTTAATTTCTTGACTGCTGGTGCCAAGAGTGTTGATTTTGGAGCCAATCAAACTAAAACTATTTACAATCTCAATCTCTTCACCATCTATTAAGATGCTACCAATTGGCCCAGTGGTGAGAATCTTTAGCACAGAGAAAAAGCGGTATATTTTATGAGGATTTCTGATTCCTTAGAAGGAGCTCTAGCGGGTAAGAAGTGAGGCTCTCATTCCAAAGGCATATGGTTCAAATCCACAGGCTGCTCTACGGGAGAAAAATGGGCAAATTCCTCCTTCCTGTGTGCTTTTCAGCCTCTAAAAACCCACTGGAGGGTTAGCTGTGAGTCAGTTCCAGCTCAATGGAAATTAGTTGAGCTTAGGAATCTTTGTGAGTTTTAACTTCTTAGTATAGATTCATCTGGATCACCATTTCTTCGTTCATAAATTCAGTGGAAGAGATCATGTCCTTAATGCAGTTCTTTCTGATTTTAACATTCCAGAATGAAAGGTCAATGTCTCAGAGGAGGAAATACTACATTTCTCAAGAATGATGGGTGAAGGGGGATCTGCAGTCAGGGAAATTATCCATATTATCTCCTTAGCAGATGCATCTTATAGTTTAAAAAGAAGTGTCATTTTCCCAAAGTACACTGAGCCAGAAAAGAGAAAAGTATTACATACCCCAGAGTTAGCAGTCCATTTGCTATTCTACAAAAAAACCCAGTTTTAAGACACCAAGCTCAAGTACCACTCTGAGAAGGGGACATTTTGCTGAGGAGACCTGAAGGGAAACCAAAATCATCAAGAGATTCAGAACCATTTGAAGAAATTTCTTTGTTCTGTGGACTCAAGTTTTTTGGGGAAAGATCTACCAAGTACCAAAGTTCTACCAGAACTGCAAGTCAACAGGCCTCTACGAACTCCCTCCTATGCAATATGCAAATTAAGAAAAAATAAACCAAAGCTCAGGAGGAGGGGCTGACTCAGAGAGGAGCCCATGAGCTCAGTGAGAGTGTGCTGTGTTTAAGGTTCCACTAGGAGAGTCTCTTGGCGATAATATCCTGTGGACATCCAATTTGAATCTGGAGATAAGACCCCAATGGAGAAGTACATGCAGCAGAGAGAAAAAAAGAGGCTGAGGGATGTGCCCATGACTTTGAGGCAGTCATGTAAGTAAGAGGAAGAAAATTCAGCAAGGGAGAACAAAGAACTCATTCTCAAAGAAAACCACAACAAACCCCCACCCCAAGTGCTGAAGAGCAAGATGTCAGTTTGAAGACTAAAGAGAACCCGATTCAAGTTATAGTCTTTTCAATCACTTGCTTATGCATCTGAAAGTTGGACATGGAAGAACGGTGACAGAAGAAAAAAATTATGCCTTTGAGCTGTGGTATTGGACAAGAGTGTTGAATATCCATGGACTTCCAAAAGAACAAATAGTTATGTCTTGGAGAAAGTGCAGCCAGGGTGCTCCTTGGAGTCAAAGATGGTGAAGTTATGTCTCACATACTTTGGGCATGTTGTTAGGCACAGGTCCTTAGAAAAGCATATTATGCTTGGTAAGGTGGAGAGGGCCAGCAAAGGAGGACCCTCAATAAGATGGATTGACACAGTGACTCTAACGGCAGGCTCGAGCGTGTTAGAAATGAAGAGAGCACAGAAGAGGATAGGGTCCATTATTCACAGGTTTGCTATGAGTTGTAGTCAACTCCACAGCACCTAAGAGCAACCTAGCCGCACTATATATCAGAGTGGATCTGCTCCCTTGGGTTTCCAGGGCTATACAACTTTATGGAAATAGCTTGTGTCTCCTTTAGAACAGGTGGAGGGTCCAAACCACAGACTTTTCAGCTAGTGGCCTAGTGTTTTAACACTGAGTCAATAGGACTCCAAGGAGATCAAAGAGTGGAGTCAAAGAACAGGATTAAGGCAAGGCTGGTAAACCACATCAAATCATTCCTGTGTGTTCCTGTGCAAAACTGCGTTGCTATTCCTGGCACAATCCTAGGGATCTCATCCACATTTTTTTTACCTACTTCATTTCCTATTAGAAGCCAATAACCACATGTTGTCTCCCCAACCCAGTTCTAACTCTTGAGCGTTGAAGTTAAATCTTAATCCTGTAAATAGTCTTTGATTCTTTCTCCATATGCAAATATTACAATCTTTTACTCATTCATTTCTTAAATATTTACTCACCATGTGTATGGCACTGTCTTGTGTATTAGAAACAGAGGGATCAACTTAAAGTCAGAGAAGCTTGAAATCTCAGATAATTCTTACACTAAACAGAAGTTACCATCTTTCCAAGCCCCTACCTAGCCTGCTTCTCCTCCACTGCTCCCATCTCAGGACATCCCCATTATTATCTTGCCCAGAAATGTGGAACTCAGCCTTCCCCTCATTGCCTGCAACCGGTCAAGTCCCCAAGTCCAGTTCTTTCCCCAAGCATCCTTTGAGTCATCCAGGTCATCACCACATCCCATCTGGAAACCTCCAGCCCTCCTCCTGTGAGGCTGTCCCCCTCTGGCCCTTTCCTTCTTCGTCTCATCACATGCACCCTCTCAATTCCAGTCACACTGAACATTTTCAGCTCCCTCAATACACTGAGCTTCTCTCACTGCCCGGGCTCCCTCTGGCTGAAGCACAGTCCCACCTTCACCACCTGCATCATTCCCACACTTCACTTCTGGGTACAGATGTTTCCTCTAGGAAACCTTGCTTAGTTCCATAGTGGAGATGGACATCCCTCCTCTGTGCTGACCTGCCCCACACCGCTCCTGGGAGAGCACTCACTCTAACTGACTAAATGGGTAAAGACTGTCTGTCGTGTTTACTATTGTTCTCTCTATTCCTTCTAACATTATAGAATGTCTGGCACAGCATAGAGACCACAAGGCTACACTGCTATTCCAAAGGTTTGCAGTTCAAATGCACCAGCTGCTCTGCAGGGAGAAAGATGTGTAGTCTCTTCCTGTGGGATAAAACTACTGATGAAAAGCAAATGACAGGCCTGATGACATTCAAGAATGTGACTACAAAAAGGAGGATCAATGGAGGCTTGCTGAAGTATCCAGTGCTGCTATAACAGGATACCAGAAGTAGGTGGCTTTAGCAAACAAAGTCATTTTCTCACCGTTTCACTCGCTCACTGCTGCTCTGACTCACAGTGACCTTCCAGTGGGTTTCTGAGGCTGTGAATCACAATAGGAGACTGCCCATCTTTCTCCCTTGAACCACAGGTATTGGAGTTAAAAGTTACAATCTGCATTTTGGGGAAACACAATTAAATCCTCACCAGGAGGCATCTTGGAGTCTCTAAGCTGTAAAGCAGAACTCTGCCCACTGACAGTGACCATAGTGCTGAGTAAGGACGCTCAGGAGGAACAGAGATGTGAGATGAACAGGAAGAAAGTGAATGGATGCCTTCCCTAGCCACACATCCTACCTCTTTCCCTTCACATGACCAGTTTCAAAGGAGATTCTGTTTCCTGCCTTTATTTTCTCATCTATCTTTGTGGTGGTGGGGGGGGAAATCTTCCCACCCCCAAGTGGTTTTGTTACAGGAAGGAGTCCTGTAGACTGGACTTTGAGAAATTCTTCTCTATGTTTATTCCCTGATAA